GGGATGGCCATAGACCTGGATGATAGCCGACATTCCCATATGTACACATGTAAAGGGATGGCCATATACAGTGATGAGAGCTTACATTCCCATATGTACACATGTATAGGGATGGCTATAGACATGGATGGCGGCTCACATTCCCACATGTATAGGGATGGCCATAGACACTGATGACGGCTCACATTCCCATATTTACACATGTATAGGGATGGCCATAGACCTGGATGATAACCGACATTCCCATATGTACACATGTATAGGGATGGCCATATACACTGATGAGAGCTGACATTCCCATATGTACACATGTATAGGGATGGCTGCTCACATTCCCACATGTATAGGGATGGCCATAGACATGGATGGCGGCTGACATTCCCACATGTATAGGGATGGCCATAGACTCTGATAAGAGCTGACATTCCCATGTGTATACATGTATAGGGATGGCCATACACATTGATGATGGGCTCACATTCCCATATGTACACATGTATAGGGATCACTATAGACACTGATCACAGGTCTCATTCCCTTATGTATACATGTATAGGGATGACCATAGACATTGATGACAATTGACATTCCCATATGTACAATATATATAGGGATGGCCATAGACTTAGTTAGACTGGCTGGAAAAAGACAAAAGTCCATCCAGTTCAACCAAAAAAAAAAAAAAAAAAAAAGTTATAATCCTACACCCACAGTTGATCCAGAGGAAGGCAGAAAAAACCCAGCAAAGCATGGTCCAATTTGCTCCTGCAGGGAAAAGAATTCCTTCCTGATCCCCCAAGAGGCAATCGGATATTCCCTGGATCAACTTTACCTATATATGTTAATATCCAGTTATATTCTGTCTATCTAAGAAAGAATCCAGGCCTTTTTTGAAGCAATCCACTGAGCTGACCAGAACCAACTCTTGAGGGAGTCTATTCCACATTTTCACAGCTCTCACTGTGAAGAAACCTTTCCGAGTTTGGAGATTACATTTCTTTTCCTCCAGACGTAAAGAGTGCCCCCTTGTCCTCTGTGATGACCTCAGAGTGAATAGCTCTACACCAAGTTCACTATATGAACCACTGATGTATTTATACATGTTGATCATATCCCCCCTTAATAAATTCAGTTTCTCTAATCTTTCCTCATAGCTGAGCTCCTCCGTGGCTCTTATCGGTTTGGTTGCCCTTCTCTGTACTTTCTCCAGTTCCCCAATGTTCTTTTTGTGAATTGTTGCCCAAAACTGAACTGCATATTCCAGTTGAGGGGTAAAGGAAAAGCCCGACACTCCCCTTTCCTGAGGAGCAGCCAATCGGTGCTCATTACACTGCAAGGTCTCTCTACTCCCTGCTAGTCCCCAGGTGCGGTGCTGGAGACAGGCAGGGAGGGGAGGAGGAGATCAATGGCACAATGTTAAAAATATTATACGATTAAGTCACCATAAAACCCCTTTTGTTTTTAAAAACATTCATTCCTAATATCACCTCCGATTTAAATACGGTTTTGGTTGAAATTTTTTTTTTATCTGGACAAGTAGATTGTCCTGAGGAACAAGTAGATTGGGACACCGATTTAGCCCTTTGAACAAGTAGTTTTTTTTTTTTTTTTTTTTTTAATTTCTACACCCCTGGACACTGATGACGGCTGACATTCTCATATGTAAAGGGATGGCCATGAATGCACGTGACGTTCATAGTTTCATAGTTCCCCTCCTAAAGTATTCTTTTGCTTATGGCTTTGTATAATGTATGCACTAAATCGGTATAATTTATAGGCACACTCATAGTGAAGAGCACTACAGCATATATTCACATCATTACATATGTATGGAAAGAGCAACATATAGCAATTTTGTATAGGGAGGTGCATTGTAGCACTCCACACAAGGAACACTTTCTACACTGTATAGAAACCACACGGCACCGCAGCAGTTTGACTCTCCTGTTCATATTGCAACTCCACTAGCAAAAGTATGAATATCTATATAAAACATTGATAACACAAGAAAACCAGACATACTGTAAATATGCCTACCACATTAGTCACTTGTTTTCTCTCCCTGCCAATGCAAACACATCAGCTATCAGGCTGGTGTATGACCCCCCCCCCCCCCCCATAGTGGATGACCCATATCTTGTGTGACCTCAGGACTGATAAATGACACCTTCTTGGCAAAACTGCCAGTAAAAAAAAAAAAAAAAAGCCCTTGCTTAGCTTGCCTATTGATTCACAAACCCCTGCCACAATGAAGAGCCAGGCAGGTGACACCACTACTGCCAACTTCCCTTGTGACCCGCCCACTCATTTAACTTGCCAGCTTCCTGAGTCATTTAATTGTAGTGGCTCGGCATAACTGCCAGGCAACCAGCATTTTTATAAGGCCACTATAGTCATCCCTGCGTCTGTCATGTCAGCTTTATTTGCTCTCCCTGGCACTGGAGTTTTTGAACTTTTCTCTGTAATTTAATGCTGCATAAAAGAAAAATATATAAAATTATATAAAATGTAGATTAAAAGGCGCTAAATTTAATTCTTTTTTTATTGCAGATGTAAGCAATGTTTACTGCAGACACAGCTCACATGGCAGGCCTGCCACAGTAAGCAAGAAGGAATGTGAAATTGACATGGACTCTGCCAGCACATGCTGACCACGTGGAGATTCCGCCAGCACGTGCTGACCACGTGGAGACTCCGGTAGCACGTGACATTCACATGGAGACATTAATGTCAAGACTCTACCAAAATGCCAGGGAAACATCTCCTCCAGTGAAGATGGGGGCAAGGATACAAGAAAGGATAGACAGATACTGGTGGTAGGGGATTCCATTCTTAGAAGGTACAGAGAGAAATCCATCACAAAGATAGTGATTGCCGAACAGTATATAGTGTACCAGGCGCTCAGGTTCGGAACATTGCAGATCGGATGGACAGATTGTTGAAATGGCCTGGGAGGACCCAGCTGTCATTATATCCCAGAGGTGTTCTATTGGATTTAGGTCAGGCGAGCGTGGGTCCATTCAATGGTATCAATTCCTTCATCCTCCAGGAACTGCCTGCATACTCTCGCCACATGAGGCCGGGCATTGTCGTGCACCAAGAGAAACCCAGGACCCACTGCACCAGCGTAAGGTCTGACAATGGGTCCAAGGATTTCATCCCGATACCCAATGGCAGTCAGGGTACCATTGTCTAGCCTGTAGAGGTCTGTGCATCTCTCCATGGATATGCCTCCCCAGACCATCATTGACCACCAAAACGGTCATGCTGAAGGATGTCACAGGCAACATAATGTTCTCCACGGCTTTTCCAGACCCTTTCATGTCTGTCACGTGTTCAGGGTGAATCTGCTCTCACCATTGAAAAGCACAGGGCGCCAGTGGTGGACCTGCCAATTCTGGTGTTCAATGACAAATGCCAATTGTGCTCTATGGTGCCAGGCAGTGAGCACAGGGCCCAATAGAGAATGTCAGGCCCTCAGGCCACCTTCATGAAGTCTGTTTCTGATTGTTTGGTCAGAGACATTCACACCAGTGGCCTGCTGGAGGTAATTCTGTAGGGCTCTAGCAGTGCTCAACCTGTTCCTTCTTGCACAATAGGGTAGATACCGGTCCTGCTGATAGATTAAGGACCTTCTAAGGCCCTGTCCAGCTCTCCTAGAGTAACTCTGCAAGAAAAATAGTGCAGCGCTTAATCATAAAATTATCTAATACATACAAAATTATCAATAAATAATATATGTGCAAACCAAATCACCCCCAGTGTCAATCCATACATCACATACGGACCAATACTCAAAAAATAGAAAGTGATAGCACAATGTGATAAATTGAAATACAATAAATAGTGATAACGCCACATAATGAAAAAGTCCAATCAGTAAAATGTGTATCCAACTTTGTATAAAGTCCAAAGCAGTGTAAAAAGAAAGAGGACCAAAAATCTTCTTCCTGTACCACCAACAATTTTCACTTCACCACCTATATGAACTCACCAGACTGCTAAATAGCAAATGCATGCATCATAGCCAAATGTAGTCATTCGGCGTCCCAATCCCTGGTCACCATTCGAACATCCTTGCTCTGCACATGCTTAGTTACGTTCTATTTTCAAGCACCTGCTGGCAGCCTAAAAATGTACTGCTGCTCAGGATTCTGGGCTACAGCAAAATGGCCGCCTTCTGCCTGCCGGGGTGGCTCTGTTCTGTTTCCTGGGTAGGAGAGGTACCAGGTGAGAGGGCTGGCCATCACTTTAGTCCCTTTAGGGGCTATTTGGCACGATGCATAGATGGCGGACAGGAACCAGCGCCGATGGGGCTAACGTTCCTGTACGTTAGCCCGCATCGATGGCTCGTGTGCGGGTCACAGAGCGTACACTCCGGAGGCTGGTGATCGGTGTGTCACCCGGACTCAGCGGATTACATTACCACTGTGTTCGGGCGATTACATGGTGTATTACCATGTGACTGCTGTGACCAACCACAGCACTCGCATAGTAAACTATGAAACTGAAAGTAAAGATCGCTTCTCTCTGCTCACAGTGTGAGAGCAAAGAGAAGCGATCCTGCAGTGTGTGAGTGTACTGCTTGTACACTCACACTGCAGTGCCAGCCACCCCAGTGCCCCAATTTAGTCCCCCGGCGTCCCTAATCTTTGCCCCAAAATATCAATAATAAATAATTCAGGAGGCCCTGACACCTGTCCCAGTGCACACAAAAACACCCCCATACACCATACCAATGTCCTGACCACCGCCATACCAGCACCCCGATCACCTCCACACCCCATAGCAGCACCCTGATCACCTCCATACCCCATTGCAGCGCCCTGATCACCTCCATAGCAGCGCCCTGATCACCTCCATGCCAGCGCCCTGATCACCTCCATGCCATGCCAGCGCCCTGATCACCTCCATGCCAGCGCCCTGATCACCTCCATACCCCATACCAATGTCCTGATCACCACCATACCCCAAACCAACACCCTGATCACTGTCATATGCCATACCAGCACCCTGATCACTTCCATACCTGTGCCTCATCACCTCCATACCCCAAACCAATGTCCTGATCACCGCCATGCCCCATACCAGCATCTTGATCACCGCCAAACAGCATAACAGTGCCCTGATCACCGCCAAGTCCCATACCAGCATCCTGATCACCCCGAATGCCATACCAGCATCCTGATCACCGCCATGCCCCATACCTGCATCCTGATCACCCCATATGCCATACAGTACCAGCGTCCTGATCACCACCATACCCCATACCAGCATCCTGGTCACCACCATACCCCATACCAGCATCCTGATCACCGCCATGCCCCACACCAGCATCCTGGTCACCCCATATGCCATACCAGCATCCTGATCACTGCCATACGCCATACCAGCGCCCTGATTACCGCCATGCCCCATACCAGCACACTGATCACCGCCATGCTCCATACCAGCACACTGATCACCGCCATGCCCCATACCAGCACACTGATCACCGCCATGCCCCATACCAGCACACTGATCACCACCATGCCCAATACCAGCATCATGATCACCCCATATGCCACACCAGTATCCTGATCACCACCATGCCCCATACCAGCATCCTGATCAGGATCTCAACTGATCAATTTTCAAATATATAGTTTGTAGCTTTAACACAGACTAAATAATAAACTGTTTTGAGTTATTTTTATCCCCAAAATGTAGCAGAATACATTTTGGCACAAATTTATGAAGAAAAATTATTTGCAAAATTTTATAACAAAAACTAAGCAAAAAAAGATTTTTTTTTCTTAAAAATGTTCAGTATTTTTTCGTTGGTGATCAAATACCAACAAAAGAAAGCTTCATCTGTCTCAAAAGGATAACAATTTAATATGGGTATAGTGTTGAATAACTAATTGTCACTCAAAGTGTGATGGTGCTGAAAGCTGAAAGTTGGCCGGGGTGAAAGGGGAAGGGGGTGAAAGTGTCCAGACTTGAAGTGGTTAACAGCCAGCTATTGTTAAAGACGCTGGTGGCCGGCTTAAAAAATGTGCAGCTGAACCATATCTGGAAACCACAGCTGAACCGCTGAATAGCTGCACTGTAAATTGGCAGTGAAAACGGACAGGAAATTCACACCAGGCTTGTGAACCTAGCCATAGGCAAATTAGGTGGCTGCTAGGCCCCTGTGTGAGGGTGAGGCATTAGGCGACTGCCTAATCACAAAGCGTGACTCTTGAGTTTTGGCATTCTAGCCCTTTTGCAAGTTCAAATGTACAGTACAATGAACTTGAGAAAGGGGCCGTAATGCCCGAAACGGTCATTCCTATGGCTTTTGACATACATAGAGGGTGTGAACCTAGCCTTATATAGAAGGAGAGAGCAGCAGAAGGTGTTCTGTAGCCCTGATACACTTCCTGTGCCAGGGTGACAATGCTGCTTTCCGTAGTGTGGTGAACTGTCATGTTGTTAAAAAAGGATATTATGCCACCCAGAATTCTCAACAAGGCAGGTTAAGGGGCTCCAGGGAGTTTGTGTAATGCAGAGGAAACTGGCTTTTCAGTTTCTGCATTGTTTCATAAAAGGTCCATATTGGGACCTAGAGCCTGGAGATTTCAAAGTGATCTGGGAGGGAAGAAATCTGCAGTCCTGGGACCAGGTTTAGGAATAGCCACGACACTGATTATGCAGGTGGGTTTTGGGCTTTTTGTAGAGCCAGGACCAGGGTTCTGGGCTCTATCCTTCTGAGGAGTCCAGGTGTGTGCAAAGGAGAATCCAGAGGGGTGCACTGCAAAAGGACAGAGTCCAGAGCCTGAGGACCAGAGCAGCAATTGGCTGCCAGCTGTGTTGACAAGGAAGTGGTCTATGGGGGACAAACAAGGGTCTATACTGTAAGGCCTGAGTAGAACTACTGTACATAAGCCAGGAGGCTGAATAACTATTTGCTGCAAGTGTAAGCCAGGAGGCTGGATTTGTCATTCTGTGTTGATGTGGAAAACATACATTGCATGGACTTTTTTTTTTCTTTTCCTTTAATAAAGGTGGGCCAAGAACCCCTTAAAAAAAACCCAGAGTTAGACTTACCGGTAACTCCTTTTCTACGAGTCTTCCAGGACAGCCATCTGAGACCTAGAGCTCCTCCCTCCGGATCAGGAAACACACCATCCCCCATGCCTTTAAAAGGCGGGCCTCCGATCCAGTTATTAAAAGAGAACTAGTGGAAGCCACTGAAAGACACAAATATAGGTAAATACATTTCCATGCAGTCAACCTTAACTCTCTTGGTTGTACATTAGAAGGGTGGGAATTACCGGCTGTCCTGGAAGACTCGTAGAAAAGGAGTTACCAGTAAGTCTAACTCTGGTTTTCTCCCTACGTCTTCCAGGACAGCCATCTGAGACGATCAACGAGAACTTACCCCCTTAGGGTGGGTCCACCGCCTGCAGGACCTTGCGTCCGAACGCCTGTTCCTTATCTGACAGGATATCCAAGCGATAATGCTTCACGAAGGTAGAAAACCTCGACCAAGTGGCTGCCTTACAGATTTCCTCCGGCGAAGCCCCGGCTCTCTCTGCCCAGGACGCTGCCAAGGATCTAGTTGAGTGGGCCTTAACAAAAGGAGGCGGAATCCCCAAGACCTTGTAAGATTCCCCAAATTGCCAGCCTAATCCACCTGCCTATCGTGGCTTTAGATGCTGCCAACCCCCTTCTCTGCCCTGAAAACAAAACAAAAAGGGAATCCGACTTCCTAAATTCCCTGGACCTGTCTAAATAAACTATAAGACTCCTCCTCACATCCAGCAACCCTAGCCTTTCTTCCTCTTTACCTTCAGAGGAAGAACAAAAGGTCGGCAGAACAATATCCTGCGACCTGTGAAAAGAGGAGGATACTTTAGGAAGAAATCCCGGATCAGTCCTAAGCACAACCCTGTCCTTAAGAAAGGTCAAGTAAGGCTCCCTAATAGAGAGCGCTTGTAGCTCACTCACCCTATGGGCCGATGTGATTGCTACCAAAAAAAACTATTTTTAAGGTTAAAAACTTGAATGCTGACTCCTCTAAAGGCTCAAAAGGTTCTCGAACCAAAGCCCTTAGGACCAGGGACAGACCCCAACTCGGACAACCTCCCACCTTAGCAGGCCTAGCCCTGGAGAGAGATCTGAAAAAATCTACTACGAAGGGATTTTGTTGCAAAGAGCACTGCAAAAAAATACTCAAAGCCGAAGCCTGTACTTTCAAGGTGCTGATCGAGAGTCCCCTATTGGGCCCCCTCCTGAAAAAAAATCCAAAACCATCGGAATGTCCAGGGGCCCTGGTCGGTCCGAACACTACGAGGTAAACCTTTTCCAGACCTTTGAATAAATGACTCTGGTTACTGGCTTGCGACAGCTCACCAAAGTCTTTACCACCTGATCAGAGAACCCCCTGGCTCTGAGGATCTGCTCCTCACAAACCAAGCCGTCAACCGTAACGTCTTGACTCGCGGATGCAGAAGAGGACCCTGCGCAATCAGATCTGCCCTTTCTGGCAAAGGATACGGGCAAGCTGAAGCCAGCCTGTTCAGTAGGTAAAAAACCATGGCCTTCTCGGCCAAAAAGGTGCGATCAAGAGTAGATCCGACCTTTCCCCCCAAACTTTTTGCAGGACCGCCGGAATCAGCCTGATTGGAGGGAACGCATAGGCCAGCTTGAAATCCCAAGCGGTCGACAGAGCGTCTATCCCCAAGCTCTGCCCTTGCGAGTTTAGGGAAAAGAACTGGTCGACCCTCCTGTTCTCCCGTGACGCAAAAAGATCCACCTCCGGTTTCCCCCACCTGGACACCAACTCCTGGAATACCTCCTGGTTGAGTGACCAATCGTCGTGGGAGAGTGGCCATCGGCTCAGGAAATCTGCAAGCGAATTCTGAGAACCCTTTAAGTGTACCGCCGAAATCGATCGCAGATTCTGTTCTGCCCAGGTCAGAATATCGCCTGCGATCCTCTGCAGCGAAGGACTCCTTGTCCCCCCGTTTGTTCACACATGCTACTGTTGCCATGTTGTCTGAATGAACCTGCACATGAAGGCCCTTCAACCCTGCCTGAAAAACCTCCAAGGCTTTCCAAACCGCCAACAGCTCTCCCTTTGATTTGAGGGCTTTAAGGAGTCCTCCTGGGACCACCTCCCCTGGGCCGTTCTCCCTTGTAGATGAGCTCCCCAACCAAAACTGCTGGCGTCTGTGGTTAGAATGAGTGGAGCCACTGGCCTCCAATCCAGACCTCTGGTCAAGTTTCTCTCCTTTCGCCACCACCACAGAGATCTCTTGACTCTGGACGGAAGCCGGACCAGCCGCTCCAGCTCTGAGACATTTCCGTCCCATTCCCTTAACAAGAAGGCCTGGAGTGGTCTTTGGTGAAATCTTGCACATGGAACCGCCGGAAAGCAGGATGTCATGAGACCCACTGCCCCTGCGACTTCCCTCACTGAAACAGGCAGGCTGCACTGCAACCCTAACACCCGATTCATCTTCCTGATCTTTTCTCGCGCGGCAGAAAAATCTTTCCCTCTACAGAAGAGATCTCGTACCCTAGGTAAACCACCCTCTGTGCGGGTATAAGAGACGACTTTTCCCTGTTCACGAGCCAGCCCAGACCCTGCAGGAGATTCTGGGCTACTCCCAGGTGCTCGAGCAACTGTTGCCAAGACCCGGCCACCAAAAGCAAGTCGTCCAGGTAAGGAACCACCAAGATTGATCTCAGCCTCAGGGAACCAGAGCTTCTGCCAAACCTTCGTAAAGATCCTGGGAGCCGACGCTAGACCGAAGGGCAAGGCCCGAAACTGCCAATGGAAAGTCTGCCTTATGGCCAACCTGGGGAGGTGGGGCGGGGGGGGGGCGGGGGGGGGTGTGGATGGAAAGTCTTGCGGGGGTGGGGGGGGGGCCCGATCCTTATGGCCAACCTCAGGAACTTCTGACTTGTCTGATGGATGGGAATGTGAAAGTAAGCATCTCTCAAGTCCACTGTGGCCATGAAGCACCCCCGGAACAGGATATTCTTTACAGAATAAATTGATTCCGTTCTGAAGCGTTTGTACTTTAGGGCCTGATTTAGGGAGCGTAGATTCAGGATTAACCTGAATTTGCCTGAAGGCTTTCCCACAACAAAGACGTGTGAATAACACCCTGAACCCCGCTCGTTCTGAGGCACCTGCACCAGAACTCTCTGGTCCACCAATTCCCCTATAAGATCGCATAACGCCTGAGACTTCCTGCGATCCTTGGGAAGATCGGTAACCAAGAACCTGCTTGGAGGGCAGTCCTCGAACTCTATCCTGTAGCCTCCCTGAATCAGGCTCCAAATGAAGGGGCTCGGGGATATAGAAGCCCACTGAGGGAGAAAGGACCCCAACCTTCCCCCTACTGGGCCATCCAAGTCATTGGGGCTTGGAAGATCCTTGAGGAGGATTGAAATAATATCCCTCCCCGGCCTCTGTTTTTATGCCCTGTCCAATGCTTTTTTGGCTGAACTTCTCTATTCGGAAGCACTTG